CACACACACACACACACACACACACACATACATATATATATACACATACACACACATATATATATATACATATATATATATATATATATATTATATTCTTATATAATGAATATATATAGAGACAAAGTTACCAGTTTGTACCAGTTTGACTTTATGTTCTTGGATTATATGATTCCTGTGATTGTTCTTGCATGTTGATGGCAATGAGTAGCGGATTTGTCCGGTAGTTTTGCGTACAATATCGTCTTTTTTATGTTAGTATACATTGGGGAGCTTGGATTTCACACTATACATCATCTTGAAGGGGTGCATACTTGGATGATGACAATTGACGACTGTTCAATTTTTTTTTGAGATATCGAATATGGTGCAAATTGTTGTCTACTACGATTTGAATCTTCTATACAAAATATATGGTCTAATTGATTTTGTTTATATTAAATACAACAGGTGTGCAGAGTTGTGCGGAGACCCCAAGCGTCGCTGCCCTGTTCTCGCCATTTTAAAGCAATGTCACAACCACACCAATGTAGCAAGTAATATCAGGGTGGACCATTGTTGGAAACAAAACTGTATATAGGAGGACGAAGAGTGGGTAATCTGCACTGAGAAACTATCTGCGACGCACGATCAAGAGTGGATGGGACATATCTTGCGACACAATGTACTGCAGTACAGGGAGGATTGGGCGAGTGAGGAGTTTGACAATAAATTCTGCTAACTCAGGTCTAAAATATAATAATATCATCTGCGCGTTTCTTCTTTATTCTAAAGTCTTGCCGTAAGGTTTAGGAAGCGGTCCTTGCAAGAAGGACTCGTAATTATACATATTAGTTTCCCTCTTCCTCTTTAAATTGTATTTATTTTTTTAACTAACTAACTGAAAATTTATACTCTACCTTTCACATCATAAGAACGTACTTTTGAACTCATTATGATGCGGCATTTACTACTACGGCCTTTTGAGTATGGTTCTATGTGGTCGGTCTTTTGTAGTCTTTGTCGCACGATGGGGCCGACACCTTAATGGCTGTACCACACCCAAACGGATTTTGTTTCGTTCTAACAGGAACACAAAGGAAACTGTAGTCACTGATTGGACGTAGTGCTTGTATTATCAGAATGGTGCTCCATTCTTGCTTCAAGTGATTCATTCGTTTGTCTTATGGCCCAGATTGTATAGATGCTGCAGGTGTCCACCTATGGCCTCTGAGTAAGTCTCTTTGTAATGGTACGGGATGTTAAATTCCTTGGCAGCCTGTCGCACGATGGGACTGATCTCTGGATAGTAGTACTGCCATGGATGAATCAGAAGGAAGGGGGTTGATTGAATTAGACTTCATACGCTCATAGCAATACGTTGGATCGATCAAACGTGTCAGTGCAAATAGGCACGCCTGCGCGGTAGAACTGAACAGTCCGGTCTTCTTATACATATGCATTTACATAAAGTAGGTACTGTGTACTCACCTGATTGACCTGTGGTACTATATGGTGAGTGGTCTGATGGTTTAGTGCACCGGAGAACACATTCCAGAACCAGGATTCGTGTGCGTAGTCTTGCGTTGTGTCCACCTGGTGCTCAGCCCAGTCCCTTAGGATGTTTCCCTGTATCACATTCATAGGACGTGGCAGTAGTCAGTAAAGAGTCGTGCATAAAGATAAATTAATTAAGTTAGACAAACTTCATTCAGCGCTGGCGGTTGTGCGAGGCAAATTGTTCCCCGAATACTTAGAATACATGTATCTCGGGATTCTTTTAGAAAACTTTACTCTTTTAAATGACCACAGACAATGACCACGACCGATACACGAGTGCTAAGATTTTCCTGCCACATGACTCCTTAATCTATCTCGTACAAAGCGTACCAACCGAACGATGGATATCGATATATATGAAATATGAATACATACACTTCAAAGTTTTAGTCACCCACCTTTGAGTCCAGCTCAGGCCACGCCACATCCTCCACCACATGGTTAGCCTGGAATGTCAACGCCAGCCAGTACGAGGTCACGGCATCGGACAGCAGGAAAAGACCAATAACACGCAATAAACTCATGCCCAATGCCAGAGGTAGCACAAGCCGATACAGGGCAAAAAACACTTTGCCACCCCAAAAGACGTAGGTCTGGGCGGGTGACGGATTGTTGACGCGGATGGCACCGTTCATCTTGGAACCGAATACGATGGTGACGTCCTGGAAACGGGTCTTGAGTCCCAGCACGGCGTACAGGATGGGCACATAGATGTGCTGTGGAGTGTGTAAGAGTGAATAGGGGAATTGGTACGGTGGGTTGGGTAGTAATGTGAAGGAGATGTGGGCGTACATGAGCAGATAAAGCGCAAGTAAGAATATGATATACGGCTGCAAAAGTGGCAACCGCTATGGAAAGAAGACTGGTAGGGAACGCCCACATATTCACGAGCTCGAAACCAATTTACATACCTGATTAACATAGAAGCTGTACCATGGCTGAGATGTCTTGATTCTCCGCACGTCATTTTCACCTGTCAATACATGCGCCATAGTTTACATTTTCAGTGTTGGGAAATGAGAAAAGCGAAATGCACTCTCACATATTCTCGAAAATTAGAATCTATTTTTTTTTGAAACGTGTAAAAAATAGCCGCAGAATATACACTCAAGAACAGACACATACATACTTGTGACAATATCAGGATCAGCACCATCGATATTTGTGTAGGGATGGTGACCTAACATGTGCTGGTACAACCAGCACAGATAGGACGCTCCGTTGACAAAATCGTGGGTGGCGCCGAGCGCAAACCATACTGTGGGGTTGTGTGTGAAGGAGAAGTGCGAGCTGTCATGCATTGGCATCAGGCCTACCTGCATGGGTGATAGAGTAATACGCGTTTTTAGCTGACTTAGAGTGAAGATCAATGAGATGGGTGCAACATATATGTGCCAGATATGCATAGCTTTAGCTGGGCACTGGACGCAACCAATAGAGTTGTGAATCTTGAGGACGAGTTTTGTGTAAATAAATGCAGATGCTCCAGAACCTTGCCAAAGGGTATATATATATAAAAATATAAACAAACACGGAAATCGCGATACTGAACATACCATAGCACAGGCAAGACCGAGCGGCAAGCAAAGCAGTAGCTGCAGAGGTAGTGAATCGGTGTTTAAGGTGATAGCCCACGAGCCAAAGATAGTACCGAAGATTGCGAAGTATCGCACCAGCATCCAGTGGTTGTACTTAGGGTTTTGCTTTGTCTTCTTGAAGTAGTCGTCAACTCGCTGTAATAATCGATGAGTGTGGGATGTTATATTTAACACACAACAATTTACGATATTCTGGGCATCCAATTCGAGAGAGCTGTGAGAGGACCCTTTGTCTAAATTTAATGGACGCATCGTCATACAACGGTACGCCGTATATAACTATACTAGAAAGACGACATAGCAAACTCAATGGCGTCAAGCATGCAGTGACATAAATAATCAACAACGCTATACACGGCGATGTGCGAGCGGAAAATAACCAACAGATATCGAAATTAGTTTTATACAGCGCCGAAATCGGTCATCATCGAAAGTTCACACCACCAATATCTGTGGATACTGCAGCTTAAGTTCTCTACCAACAATAAGACATAATTTGACAAACACTATGTATTTCTTTGGTGAATGTTCTATCAAGACTATTCTAAATTTGGGTGCATGGGTCTTAATTAGCAGACATACCACTTATTTCACATATTCTTCTTCGGTAGGGATAGACTTGTGAGCAGCCTAAATTAATAAACAGTATCAATGTAAAACTGGACGTCAACAATTTGACATACCGACTTGACAGCTACGAAGAACTCGTTAGGTGCAGGGAAGGTGGGCAACTCATTGGTCACCAAATGGCCGACTTCGTATTTATGAAGGAGCTCCTTCACTCGAAAGGAGTGGTACGTCTCGAAAACCTGTGCAATTACAGGAGGGACAACCTAGCCTTTAGGACAAACACATAGTTATCTATAGGTATGCGTTGAGGTATCCGGTAGCCAGCGCCGATATTGAGTGTCCAATAAAGGAAAGAGCTGATATGTGGGTCAAAGTATGTATCGCACGCGTCTGTAATCCACAAAAACATCGGTCAACCCACATCGTCAATAATCAAGCAGAATCCATCCAAAGTTCAACAGGAGATTCGAAGGAGTTCACACTTGTACACTCGCCAAATTCGAGGGACACACAATCGTAGGATTCATACACTGAACGTGCTTTTGAAACACTGAAAGGATTACAAACTGACCTGTGTGGCATCACGGCCCCCCGCTGCAAGTAATGTCTCTAAACCCCCGGGGTGCGTATCTTTGAACTTCGTGACATCGTATACCTACGAAAGGGAGATATTCAAGACGAATTCGCTTAAGTAACATGATGACGTGATGGATCTTGGAAGTATGGAAACAGAGAGATTTGTACTACGCAAACGCATGAAGAATATCCAGAGAGACATATGGCATTCCTGTATGCAGGAAAGCTTTTAACATTCTTATGCAATCGATCCGAATATAGAGATCTATTTAAGATCGATAGCTAATTTGAAGGGTTTAAAATTAAGAGCCTCAAGTCATGAAATATTAAAAGATAAGAAAAAAATTAAACATACGCAAACCTGCATTTATAAGCATTCGTATACACACATATATATATATAAATATATATACATAAACTTTTCCATGTTATATATTTTAAATACACATGCATATATATATATATATATTGATACTCATATCTAAATCGCGACCTCACAAGTAACGGACACACGCACACACATATGGATGTCTATTTGAACATAATATGGCATATATTTGGAAAAAACATACAGCATAGATGCATATCGGACTGATGTATTGATAGATGCATGAATATTTAATTATATGGATACACATTTTCACACACATACAGCATAGATGCATATCGGACCGATGTATTGATAGATGCATGAATATTTAATTATATGGATACACATTTTCACACACATACAGCCACAGCAATATATATATATACATATATATGCACAGACACAGACATATATATATATTCACACACATACACATAAATATGCACACCCACAAGTATAGACACAAATATGTAAATGCACACACTCACACATACACGTACACATAATATATATATATATTTACATATAATATCATATATTTATATTATTTAGAAGTGACATATAAATAGTTTACACGATAGAGCACATAATTCAAACCCTTAATGCTCGCAATTGGCGTCAACACAAAAGGAAAATGCAGTAAAAAAAATAGGATTGGATCTTTAAGAAAAGTCATCGAACTGCACCTACTCTATGATCGTGAAACAAGATGCATTATGACCCCGACTTCGTAAGGGGAATCGCGACATATCCTTAATGTTATTGAGCTAAGACCGCTTAGGGTGAATAAGTGTTTGGATAGTATAAAGTAGATCTAAATCCAATTATAGCACAGGTATATCTATTGTTCGAGTACTGCATGTATATCGAGTATCACTGGTGTGCATAGTCCGCTTGTTGTATTCTTCATACCTTTCCTCGGATAGCGACATAAAGATCATCCGCACTGTTGTGCTCGGCGACCTCTTCCCAGGTGTACTGTTTCTGTGATTTACACATCGTGGTTTGACGTGTCTTTTTGACGCAATGAGGATTGTGCGAGATAACACTAGTAAATAGCACACGAATGTATATACTTTCCTAATTCTACTTGCCAACTATTTACATACAGATATTAGCACCTGTGTATATCACTTAAAAAACACAAATCACGGTATTATAATAGTATTTTTAGGTACTTTGGGGGATCATCATTCATCATTGATGAACAACTTTTGATACATATTCATCAATGAATTATAAATAGAACTGTGGCTAAAAAGTCAGAACAGTGACACGCGGTGACACTGTGACAGCGTCACTGGCATCCTTGTGTTCTCAAATACATTCGATATTATTGGTGATCTAATTTTGGGAATGGGCGGATTGGTCGAGAACCTCGAGATATTCGATGTCACGCGAACACAATGTGTGCTTTACATTCTTTGGAATGCTTCCACAGAGTTCAGATCTGGCGGGATGTATGTATTCGTAAAATCAATAAAATTGTAGTTGCATTGTGACAACTTGGACAGGGGTTAATGAAAAATTACATACAGACTGTGGACTCCGGTGCGTGTGGAGTGTGGAGGAAAGTTGTGAGTTTGTGACTTGTGTCAGTGTGAGTCATGATTGATGATTCACTCTCGGGCCTCGGGCCTCTCTCTCTGTCTCTCTGTAGGGAGTAGAGGCTAGAGCTACGTACTATGTATGGTAGTAGTATTTTTAGTACATATACCAGAACGGCATATTCGGAGTGGACGGACTATTGTCCGCCATCGAGAAGATGGCCATGACGACAATACACGGTTATGGGTTCCTGATTCCTAAATATACAGACCAGTGACCAGTGACCAGTCCTATGTGAATAAATATAGTTGTGTACAGTGTACACACATGTGGAGAATAGAGTGTAGAACTCTAGTAGACTGTCACTGTAATCTGTGACTCTGTAGTCAGTAGTTGCCGACTTGCCGAAGTTGCCGTATACAGTGAACCTTTTCATATATAGTATTTTAGTCCATAGTCCGTTTCAGCCTTTCAGACCAAAAAATTGGACAAATTCCTCTAGTGGACAACCGTTCATTATTAGGCAAAGAGTATGTTATGTTCTGGTACCAGCACTATTTAAGACCGGTAAGCATTTCCCAACTCAAGAGACAAAATAGAGGTAGACAGAAAATGAGGTTTAACTGTATTTATTGGACCACATCCATTGATAGCCACACACCAAGAGGAGGCTTCGAGCATATAGTTCTCTCTACGCAGGAGATCGAAGTTTAAGACTAAAATACATAATTCATGTAGATGTAGAATCTGATAGGTCAATCTCTTGTGATATTTGGAGGCGTCAATCCCTACTACGAAGCTACACATTCAACTTTATAGTTAGAGTTAGTTCTTAGATTACGATAACTTCCCAGACCAAGACACAGCTTGGTGAATTTTCAAAACAGACGAGTTTATTTTGTTAGCATAGTATAACCACAAAGCCAATCGAAATCAACATACACGGCTTCACTAATACCATTAATATATATATATATGGACGGAAAGCTTCAGCTGCTTAACATTCCCATTCATTCGGCTGGAAAATTCAGAAGAAGAAAAACAGTAGCAATCCTATAGCAGTATAATAAATTCTGCATAACATCGTGCATTCAAGACTTCTGTTTTTAAATACCATAAGATAAAATTAATAATTACTTCAGGGCAAACTTTCACTTTACAACAGACTTTATAATTTATTGAGACATAGTTCCAGTAAGTTTACCGACTGCAGTCTAATTGCAAGTGCCTTATATATGCTCCGATTCACCCGAAGACCCCTCTTTCACGGTCCCATCCCTCTGTCAGGTGATCGCTTTTCATTCACTTGGTAAATAACCAGCTCACATAGCCTATGTCTGGCATATATGTACCAAATGCTTGTATACAAGGATCTGGATGAAGAAAACTTTACACGAATATACAGATCTCTGACTCCTTTCCTCATGCAACTGCGAGCAGCCCATGGAGATCGTGGTTTTAAACACAGTACAAGTCCGTTCGATAGCAAAGGATTGACATAACCCGTATACGTAAACTTATTTAACATGTTTCACGCTGGGATGAGCGAAGCCATTATGACGTGCCAAACCATGTAGAAGTTTGTCTTCCTTCCCACGCTTGCTATTACGACCAGTACATTGCAGTATCCCATATCTCGATACTCTGACGGCGATTAACCACGAATCTAGATTCTGAAATCACACACAGAAGCATCCCGAAGCTTTGGTATGCTGCGTCAGAACTTAATTAAATGTAACAGTGCAACAAGGAGAAGTTCTGTCCTGCATACTAGTACCAAGTCTCTCGCTTGTTTTGCGGCAGCTTTCCAACATATAACTAGATCCCTAGCATAGCCTCTACATCATCCTGCGCATTACCTCCGCTGTGCACACTATTAGCAGGTGACATATCGACTTGTGCAATTCTCTCACCCGTCACTTGTGCATCTTCCTTTCTATCCCACAAATTATCCGCATCCGGCACAGGCACCTCCGCGTCCCTATCACTCCTCGGCGAATCCTGAAACACATCCCGCCGTTCCCCATCACTTGTTTCTCTAACCGGTGACAGAGACCCATCCCTAGACGCAGACCGCGACCTATCCCGAGAGCGGTGGCGTCTGGACGAGCTCTTGTGCTTCCTTCGACCGGACTTGCTGGACTTGTGTTTGCGTTTGCTTCGTCTCTCCCTATCCCTGCCGCTCCTGTCTCTATCGCGTGAACGTGATCTTGAGCGAGACTTTCTCTCCCTCCGGCTGTGCTTACGTTCACGTTCCACAGGTGAGCCGGAGCGTGACCGTGATCGTGAGCGCCTGCGACTAGAGTGCTTGTGACGAGACCTTCTGTGCTCGTCTGTGCGGTATCGGTCTCTGTGCCGGCTGCGATCTCGCTCAGTACGACTTCGACTGCGCGACCTGGAACGCGAATCATTCTCACGATGATCTCTACCACGCGAGTTCTGATTGGTCGAACTTAATTTTGAATCGTTCTGATTGGCTGACATGGGCACGTGGAATGAACCCCGAGGCTTCTGTGTATGTTCCAATACGGGCTGAGTGGGGGGTGGGTTGGCAGCTAAAGACAACGCTAGATTAGGCTTCTGGGATTTAAGCGCGTTCAGTAGCGGATTCTGAAGCCCAAGACCGGCGGAAGGTCCGGCAGGTCTCATCATCTCTCCTATTTGTCAAAAAGAAAGCAATGATTGAGGTGAGCTTAGGAGCGGCTTGTTACGCGCAGATACACCAGCTATATGAAATATATAACATTTCCACTGAAGTGCTCGTGGGCTATTGATGCATTCTAATTTTGAAAGTTGAAATCCGGGAGGAGAGCAGCTACGAGTTTGTGTTTTGCATCAAATTTATCAAATCGTATCCACGACAGTAGCCTTATTGTAAACAAAACGAAGGTCTCTATGCGCAATCGGGTTCTTAATCAGTCAGTACGTACTAATCGTATTCAAAACTCAACAGCTTCATTAGAAACCCATATGCGGGATTAACTTAATACTTGTAAACACCTACCGATCGTAGGAGGAGGCCCTGGAGGAGGTCCGGTTGGTGGCATGAAAGGTGCCCGAATATTCTGACCTATGGGTGCGAGATTCGGATTTGCACTTTGGTTGGAATTGTTGTTGTTAAAGTTGGGTCGGATGCCATTCTGATAATTGGGCTGATTAGGGAATCGGCTCTGCATATTCATCGCTATGCGGCCACTTTCCTCCTAAAAAAACAACAAAAACACGTGGGAACAAATCAGTAAGGATTGGCGACAAACGTGTGGGCACAGCGCCGAACGCGTGTATACCACATGCTTGGGTCGCTATCGGCGCTCTTTCCGATTTTCGAACTCACATAGTGGGTCATAGATGCGCACAATCTACTCGAAGAGACCGCGTGTAATTAATACACTTTCCTGTTTTGTATCGAACTACTGGATCATGTAGCAGAGACTCAATAGTATACGAGGGTTGACAGATCTATAGAACTGAGCATAGAAGAATCTTCTGTGCAAAAATCAACAGTCGACACACACTCTGCTCATGCATGCATACGTTTTTCATCCGCATTTCTTGCGCCTTCCTCTCCAGGAACTCTTGGGGGATACCGTGGGGCGAGTTCTGAGCACTGATCAGATGAGTCCATAGCTCTTTCATAAATATCTGAAAAAGAACATATATGACAATAGTTCGTTCAGTCATGGGGGCGTGCGACGCAATAGAGCTCAACGATGAGCAGAAAATAAGGTTGGAAATAAAATCGCAGAAGAATAGTCGCAAATAGGGTTTGCCGTGACTATAATACAAATTTTATGGGATATCTGAGAGTCAGAACAAACGAAAGTATAGTTGAAAACAAATAAATTATATATATATATATATGGCAGAATCAATCGTACCATAAAATATAAGCGTCAGACAATGACATGATGTACCTTGGTCTTCGATTCCATGAATCCTGTCAGGTTGATTTGCATTTCCTTGCCACTAGGTTTTGTGTCTTCCTCCAGAATATTGAAAATATAAGAAATCACCACATCGTCTTCAATACCCAGCAATTCAGTCACCCGCTCGGAGATCCAGGGCTTGAGGACATCTAGCTTGATCTGTATATTGATAATTGAACACAGAAAAAAACAGACGCAATATCAGCAATGCGCGATTTACAAGCAATAGGATCACCAGGGGCCAAGTACAGTATTCAACAAGGCAGACCAACAATATGCCACAGACGATGTTTTCTTCCCGAAGCACACATACTTAGATATTTGAAGATGAGACTATCACATCGATGGGCACTGGTGCTTCGAAGACAGGTGCAGTCATTTTTTAACGAAAATCCAGGACAGACATAGCCGTCTTCCTTCGCCATCAAAGTGGCGTGCATACAAAATTACAACACACTCACTGAATTATGATGAATGAAAGATGGTATATATATGTATATATACATACACACACACACCACACACACGCACACACACACACATATATATCTATACATATATATTCGTAAACACATACATAAGCATATACAGTAAAAACACTGTACTGTACATGCATATGTACATACGTGTATATCTATATAGGCTATTATATACTTACACCAATATTTCATATATATGCTATGTAATGCATCTGCATAATTGTACAAAGCACGTGTTTCTCGAACTAAGAATAGTTGTACTTGTATAAGCACGTAGGTGGCGCTCACTGCGGGCAGCAAAACGCCGCGGGACCCACCAACCATTCTCAGCATGTTTTCCCGAGGTGACAAAGAAGTCCCACACATTACCTTCGATCGCGGCAAGGTACGTGAATGAGTTCAACCACCCATTCGTTCCTTGTCACTCCTATTTGTGAGTGCGTGTGCGAGATACGGAGCCACCATGCGCGTGTAATATTGATCGAGAACGTTAGAAATCGCAGTTCAGGTTCAGAAGTGATGATCAATCGAGATATTCTTGTCACACATGAGAGCTTTATCCAATATTTACATAGGTTTCAAGACAGAAACTCATAAACACGTACGGATGCTTACTCAGGTGCTGTTGATAGTGAAAGTACAAGGAATGATAACGATACAAGCAATAGTTCAGAATTATGGGATACAAACAACTGAGGTGTATACTGGTACCTTTTTGAGATCCACATCTGTGTCCAATTCGGGCGGGAATTTGTGTTTGAGCTGTTTCAATAGCTTCTTCTTTTTGTCCCCGAATCTGCCATCCTGGTCCGCTGAGGTGCCTCTAAAGAATCCAGCGTCACCCATATTGGACTATTCAATAGTATTATCTAAAAAGTCAGAAGCGCTTTATACACTTTATAAGGTGACTATTTTGTATGTATATTGTGCACAAGTGAGCGTTTTTGTCATACAAAAGATATACAGTTGTGCACAATCGCCCTTTGTCGTATATAAGCGATAAGTATCTTTAGCAGTGTAGAAGTAGAGGATCAAATCCAAGCCATATTTTTATTATTGCGACTCTTGATTTTCAGCAGCCGACGCATCTCATTTCTTGCGTGTGAAGAAATGGTGTATATACATTTATATTTAGAACTTTGCTTGAAAAACCAGGTTTGCAAGTTTGCAAGTTGGAAAACCCGGTTTGTTTTCATATTGGAATGAAATCTCATTTGCCGCCAAAAGTATCGTAGTGCATACACGTGCAATTTTTCCAATTTTTTATATACTATTTTAGGGGAGTTGCTTTTTCACATAATTTTTATAGGTAAAATACATACAACTTACTGCAGTAGTCTCTCAACTAGGCATACATACGGGTAACGGGATGTTCTCATGCAATTAGTATCTATTTCTTATTTAATTACGTGCGAGGTCGCAGTTATTTTGTAAGTATTTTTACCACTGCGATCAAGTGCACTTACATGAGACTATAAAGAGGTCGTTGCGTGTGAGTATAGTTACGTGTGAAACTACAATTAGACAGGATCGTCAATATGGCACCTCGACGTTCTACCAAGGCCCTACGATCCGCACGGTTGGCCAAGCAACAAGCGCTACAGAAGAAGGACGATGCAGAAGTGGTACATGAACTCGCGTGTGAACAAGACACGCTTCAGAAAGACATTCATGCAGCTAAAGTGGAGCAACCCTCGGGAGGAGAACAGGTATCAGATCAGCATGTGTCAGATCAACAAGTAGTAGAGTGTCAAGAGGGTACAGTGAATGCTCTTGAAGAAGCCGTATTTGATGTAGGTGTACCTAATGTAAACACAGAGCACACTGAAAAAGTAGATGATGGTCGTGCGAGTGTGATAGATACAGTACCTGGTGTAGGGCAGACAGTAGTGAAGAAAGCGAATCCGAACGAAGGACAATTAACAAACGCGCCAGTCCCTGTCAAGACAGATTTGGTAGCTCATTCTGATAACATCATGAATGCCACAGATAAGTTAGCCAAATTGGGTAAGAATAACGCGAGTATCATAAACAATGTAAATATAGTAAGTGACAACGATGGTGTACTGTTGCAGCGAATAGAGAAATTGGAGAAATCTCTGGCTACAGCCAAGACTACCTTTGCCACACAGCTCGAAGCGCATCGCATTGAAACGGAGAAGAAGTTTGCGGCCATGCAGAGTTGGAATGATGTGCTCGCACAGCAGATCCAGGCATTTAGTAATAGTAGACGGTTCCACGGACACAAGAAGCAGATGAAGGGGTGGCAGTAGAGTGTGTACGATTTGGTTGTGCGTGAATCATTGAACATAGTGCAAATCCGAGTCTGCACGAAGCAGCCGACGGGTGGTTGTATTGTGTGAGCTTGTTTGAAGATGTGGATCGTAACAATTTATGCAACGCTTGTATGTGTTCCGAACTGAACCTTCGAAAATTGAAGGAATTCTGGATACTTCAGTAAGTAGCTTTCAATTACGATAGGAACCACGTATATACGCTTCAGAGATGTTTGGATGTATGCCGGCTAGCGCGTTTTGATACAGGCAATGTCTCGCGGTGCACAACCGTGAAGCATCGAGTCATACTCACTCGTACATTGTGTAGTATCAGTCATAGGTGTCGCCTCTGACAGAAGTGATCATTATGCCATACCACAAGTTGTTCGCAGAAGAAAGTAAGCCAGATTTTCGCACTTTGTTGATCCGAGATACTGTGGGATCAATGGTATTGGAGGGCTCTGATGGGTGCGAATATTCTGTACTTCTGACGTGAGAAACAATATGACACCGGGGAAGTGGTAGGATCGCTTTGTAATATAGTTTTAGCTGCGAGTGAGCAGAGTACACTCACAAGAAGATTGTTGTATCTATACATAATCTATGACCGCGAATATCCGTGCGGAGGAAAAGTAGCAGGTGTCGTACTATCTCGCCCAACTACAACATCCTGCCTAATCAAATCCCAGCATCCGGCTACATGAAGATTCGTTGGATTAAGTGGTATGTTTTTATAAATACTGAAAGAGTATTACACTACCCATACCTCGATTTATATTTGTGCTACTTGAAACGTTTTCACATGTTTGGCATTTTTGAATCTGTCGGGTGTGAGCGAAGCGAACATTTTTTGATTAATTCACGTGGGGGGGGGGAAGTAAGGAGAAAAGGAGGAGCGGAAAAAGGGGGAAAGAAATGAGGGCGCGCAAAGCGCACCATATATTTGTTTATGTCAACACGAGAGATAAATCATTTTTATCTGAAGATCACTTCATAATAGGTGTGTGGTCATAGCCTTCTCAAATTAAAAAATAGAAGGCTACAGTGTGGTATAACAGTATTCATTCACAGAACCCACAGGGCTTTTTGACTACAATTTGACGATGGCATATGTATACATTATATATATATATATATATATA